GCGGTTCAACCTTCAATCCGGAATCAGCCGAGGTAGTTACATAGACACCTCTAGACAAAGAAAATGCTCCCATGACGGAGAAGTTGTTGGAGTTGCTTGCGACTCTACAAACACAATAATGATTAGTGCAGGATATCATGGGGACATAAAGGTCTGGAGTCTCTCTTTTCTTTGTAATTGTATAGAAATATCTTTATATTGTTCCTTTTTTATGAAATCAATTACAAATGTGTTTGCCTCTTTACATAAACTCTAGCAGCTACTTTTGTCTAGGAGAGAAACTATCATTCTGAGCATAGCAAATCAAACAATGTTCACGATTTCTTTTGTAAAATACAGGTTTGGGATTTCAAAAGGCGGGAGCTAAGGTCCCGTTGGGATATTGGTTGCTCGTTGGTTAAAATTGTCTACCACCGTGTAAATGGTGCGTTGTCTAATGAATCCTTACTTCTTCCATAGCTTGTATACATTCTTGTATTTGCATGTGCTTTTTTCCTTCCTCTGTTTCTAGCCTTCTCTTCTGTAAAGCTCCTCTGACTTTGACTTTGTTTTATTCTATATCACTCTGGTAGGGCTTTTGGCTGCTGTAACAGATGATTTTGTTATCCGTTTGTATGATGTTGTGGCGCTAAAGATGGTTCGTGAATTTAGAGGCCATACGGACCGTATAACTGATCTGTGCTTTAGTGAGGATGGAAAATGGCTCATGTCATCTAGCATGGATGGTAGCCTTAGAATATGGGATGTCGTATTAGCCAAACAGATAGATGGAATTCATGTCGATGTGCCAATAACAGCATTGTCCTTATCACCAAATATGGACATTTTGGCAACAACCCATGCTGATCAGAACGGCGTCTACTTGTGGTAAGAATCACGTGATATAGAAAGTTACCAATCTCTCTTATAAATTTTTTACCGTGTTTACTCTCCCGTTGATTCATCAGGGTTAATCGATCAATGTTCTCCGGGGCTCCAAATGTTGATTCGTATGCCAGTGGGAAAGATGTTGTAAAGGTTAAATTGCCATCTGTCTCTGCATTGGGATCCTCAGAAGCTGATGATACTAAGAAAAATGTCTCAGAACACTCGGAGGAGAAACAAGCTATCAGTTTCCCGATTGCCCATCAGCAGATCCCAGAACTTGTTACTCTATCTCTATTGCCAAAAAGCCAGTGGCAGAGTTTGATCAATTTGGATATAATAAAGGTGCTTGTTCTCCCTTTTCACGTTTCCTCATCTTTGTTTTTTATCTTGCTCCATAATTTGTTCAACCTTCTGAAAACTTTGGTTCAAATGCTGTTACAGGCCCGCAACAAACCGCTAGAGCCTCCAAAGAAACCTGAAAAAACTCCTTTCTTCTTGCCCTCTATTCCTTCAGTTTCCGGAGAAATTGTATTTAAGACAGATGAATCAGCTGATGGTGAGAAGCAAGAAAAGAATAATGAGGGTATAAAAAAGATTGATGCATTGACATCTCGATTCTCGGATCTTCTTCAGTCATCATCGGGCACAAAGAGCTGTAAGTGTGTAATCTTTTTTCCATCTGTACTTTCTGCAAAATGTAGTTAGATTACTAATGTTCTATTTGGAATGTGTTTGTGCAGTTTCAGCTTTCACTGAATACATTAAGGGTTTATCCCCATCAGCTCTTGACATGGAGCTTCGGTTGCTTGAGATTATAAATGAAGAAGCTGAAGAAGAACTCGTTAAAAAACCCGAGTTTATATCAATTGAACAGCTTCTTGATTACTTCATCGAGGAGATTCACAGCAGAAATGATTTCGAGTTTATGCAGGCAGTTGTAAGATTATTCTTGAAGGTAGTGAACTTAACTTCCCATGACGGGGGATATTGTTTGCTTCTGCAGAAATTTCCCTTTCACATTTCTTAGTTTGAGAGATTGGGTTTATTTTTGGAATTTCCAACCAATCAACATTACATCTCTTTTGTGGACAGATCCACGGTGAAACCATAAGGTGCCATCCGAAATTACAGGAGAAAGCAAGGAAACTTCTAGAAATTCAGTGCTCGGTGTGGCAGAAAATAGACAAGTTGTTCCAGAGCACGAGATGTGTGGTGACATTCCTCAGCAATTCACAATTTTGAAAAGGCTCAGGAAGAGGTATGCACGATCTACCTTTATGGCTTTCTCCTGTATATATGTGTGTGTGTATATATATATATATATGAGATAAAATCAGCATTGTCTAGGTGCATCAAACCCTATATAGTTTCCTCTGCTGATTTTTTTGTGGAAAAGCAAAAGCATGTTTATCTTCATCTCTCTGTTAAATCATTTTTATGTTGTCTTGATTGTTTCTGGAATATTTTCCCTTCAAGATTTTCATGGCCGAGAATTTGGAAGTATTACCCTTTCCTTTTCTCCCTTCTATCTGCTTGCTTGCCTAGTCGATCTTAATATTGCTCTAAAGATACGATTTTTGGATAAATATTAGTAGCTCCAAAGACCTTGTGCCCGTCTGTAGCCTCTGCGGGTTAGGCTGCCTAGTTTCCTGATTCCGACCATCTGAGTTAATCTCTACTCCTTTTATACCTCGTAGATTTGCCGAGAAGGATGAAATTTAGATGGTTAGAGGTTGAAATTTCGCCAGAGGCTACTGCTTAGAATACCGAGTAGGGCCGGTTTTTAGAACATTGATCTCTGCAATGATCATTAGACTTTTTCTCAAGTTCTTGGTACCATTGTTAGATGGATCAACAACAAGATTATACACAGTTTAGTTTGTCTTCATGTGTCTTTCTGATTTTCCTGTCCTGTCCTAAGCCGTTCATATTGTCTGGCTGTAGAGTTCATCCATCTGCGGAAATCTGTCATGTAATGAGATCTTTGAACTTGAACCTTTGTTGCAGAAAACGCTGATAGGGGCGAGAAATCAGTGCAGCGATCAGCGAAACGTGCGGTTGAAACGCCCTTGCGTTTTCGCAACTTGCGGCCAAAACGCCTAAATGTGATCTTTTCATTGTATTTTGTTTTGTTTTGTTTTGTTTTTCTTGCCTCGCGGTGAGATTTAACAGAGGAACTAAGAAAAAGAGTATGGTCACCAAATTGGCAATTTAGATAGCCAGATTTATAATCGAAATTAACAATTTTTTTTCTACTTTTAGAAAAAAAAAATCGCCAATTTTTTTAGAAATGAAAATCATCTAATTTTTTTTGAAGTAATTCATCTCGGCCGATCCTAAATGAAATTGAGAATGAGAATGAGGCGATGTTATTGTTGTTATTCATCTGGTTTTTCTAACATTATTAAAGAATTCATTTGACTTATTTCTCTATTTTTTTTACGTATCTATCACGATTTTTTTTAATAAACATTAAAAAAATTGGGGGAAAAAAATATGATTATGGGTAAAATGTACAAATCAAAGTCAGATCATTGTATTTCTTGAAAAACTTGAAGAGTGATCGTGTTGGATCCATGCATGCATGCGCACGTGCGTGCGTACGGACAAATGTTTCTCTCTGAAATACTGAGATGTTGATTCGGATGTATTTTCCATTTGTTTGTTTTGGATTATAAGTTTGGAAAAATTATTATTTTTTAAAATATATTCTTTTTTAATTCGAAAATTCACCGTTATTTATTTCGGTCCAATTACATTATTTTAAAAGAGATAACGCAATTAAATTGCGTAAACATGACGCATGTGTCACCCCAACCACACTCTACCATCACAATTCACAACTACAACATTCGGCCAGTCTTTTGAATTTTCTAAAGAAATTTTGGTGTTTTCGTGATTATTTCAAATCGGATAAATAAGAAGGAATCAATAACGTGTAACTACATTTAAAAAAAATACGATTTAAAATCTATTGTTATAATTTATAAAAAAAAATAAACTAAATTAATTAAATAGGAAAATCTAATAAATACGATCTTTATAGAACGAATGTTTTTGTTAACAAAAATACGGTTTTGAAAACCTTAAAATCGAATTAAAACTCAAAATAAAATTGAATGGATATAGTTTTATTATAATAAAAAAGGAGAAAATATAAAATCCAAACATAAAATATAATTTTAGGTGGACAAAAGACAATGTAATTCTCTGAAGATATGTCCATATATATACATATATACAAATATTTCCTACAGATGTATGAATCCCTTGTGTGTATATACACGTTGTTTTTATGTTGAATTAAAAACTCAGTGATTACTCCACATTTCTTGACAGAATTAAAATTCAATATAAAATTAAATCGATGTAATTTTATTATAATAAAAAAAGATGAATTCGAAAATAATCTAACAAAAGATGAATCCTAGTGCCTTCGGAACCTGATGTAGCGGTAAAAGAATTTATAATTCTTTAAAGAGTTCATGAATTTGATTCTATTCTCTAGCGAATCTATCAATATTTAGATGGTTTACCTGTTTTACATGGTTTGCATGCTATTACTTGGCGTAGAAGGATTGTGGCTCTCGCCATTGCAAAAAAAAAAAACCCCTAATTAATGTGTAGGGTAAGGGAGGCTAACGTAACGTGAGAGACTATGAAAACATATTTGTGATGCCTCTAAACCATTAAAGGATACGGTGACATGACTTCACATGGATAACAAATGAAGGGCGGGGTCCTAGGATTCCTGAAACTATAAATGATACGTGACTTGGCAGCCTCATCGTTAGGTATTATTATTTATTTTCATCCCACTATATAATAAAGTAGACAAATTTGAAATATATGTAACTATAAGAACTCCAATAAAAAACGACTTTTTAATGAAAAATGGAATCCATAATATATTTTAACAAAATCTGATATAACAGATATTCTATATAAAATTCGAATAAATATATATTTTTTTATATAAAATAGAAAACAAATCCATCAATGTACATCATTTTTATATAAAAAATCAACACAGCGATAAGTAAATCAAATATAACCAAAATTCCAAGAGAAAACAACGTTAATTTTGTTCAATATACACATATTATGCATACTAAATCTAAACCAACATGACCCAATATCAATTTCCCAATATTTCTTCTCTAAATCTCTTTTAATTTCAAAATTTTAATATGGTATCAAAAGGGCATAGCTTATTCTACAAATACATTTTCATATTCCATCATCTTTTTATCTTCGTCGTGCCAAATATTTATGCAAACCGTGACCCATATTTATCTCGATCTGGGTTTTTTTCTTCAAATTATACATTTCAGGATCCATACTCTAATCTATTATTAATTATTATTTTTTTCATATTGCTTTACTAATTGAAGTATTTTTTATATTTCTAATATAATTTGAACACACATATATGTACATATGTATGTATATATATATTGGTATCAAAATTCTTGAGCCAAATTGGATAAAAAAAAAATCGTTTAAAATATACTAATTTTTTTTAAATGCATTTATGTTCATTTTTTATGGTTCTATTATTTGTTTAGAAAATAAATGAAATATTAATTCTTAGATCCATAAATTAAAAGATGTAATATAATTTTTTATTTTTTACTCTATTTTTTTCTTATTTATTTTATAATTTATTTACAGATATATTAATTTTAGAAGAAAAAAATTGTCCTTCTTCTGGACATATAATTTTAGAATTTATCAAAATTATATAAATAGTCACTTTCATTTGTTATTCGATCAAAACCAATCATTCTATCTACGAAAACTACACATTCATATGTACAATAATTTTAATGAATAGAGGTTAAAAACATTGAAGAAATTTGTTGAAATACTAAAAAAATGTGAAATAAATTTTCCGATTTTATAATCTGCTTTTTTTACGATAAAATATCTAAAATAAAATTCTAAATTATAAATAATTGAAATAATCATAACATAACTTTTTTTGGTAAAGCACACCATAACTTTTTAAAATCATTTATTTATTTTCTTTAGTCTTCTCTAATTACCGATCATAAGTTGATTTATTTTCTACATAATTTTTTTTTGAGAAGGAATACAAAGCACATTCAACAAAAAAAAAGAGGTGATAAAAAGTGATTGTGAAGACAAATCTCTACGACGAAAATGGATGTTTATTTATAAATTAAAACCAGACAAAAGAAACACACCTTCACTTGTAGTCTTAATCACATGATGCAAGAATTCCACTAATTTGGTATAAATATTAGTATATTATTATTATTATTATTAGCTATGATTTTAACAGCTGTCATTTGGATTTTATCTGATCTATTTGAAATTTTAATTTTTTAATAATACTAGATGAGTACCCGCGCGTTGCGCGGGTTATTCTTTGTTATATTTTGATTATAGTTTTAAAATATATTGATATAAAAATCAATATCAATGATATGTCAGATATTCTTATATGTATTTATTTTATTCATTCTATATAAAAATTTAGTTTAATTATAAGGTAAAAGTTAAAAGGATATTATTAAATATAATAGTTATCTTTTATTTGAAGATTAATTAAATTATATATTTGTTATGGAAGTTTTTTTATTGATCACAACAATAACAACGATGGTAAACAAAGTTAATTAAATTTACTCATTTTATAATTTATAACATATTTCCTTTAATAAAACTTTAATAATTATTAAAATAAAAATTAATATTTTTAAAATGGAGCTCTCACAAATTGAACACATTGTGCGGTGGTTCTTCTTGCACGCCCACTAAAATGGCTCTGCTCTCACTAAGAAAACAACTAATTAAATATTCAACTTTCAAATTTTGACAAATTAAAAAAACACTGAATTTTTATTTTATCAAATAAACATTAAGCTTTTTTAGTTTGACAAAATAAACACTTAACTCTTCTACGATTATCAAAATAAACAAAATGACTGACGTGGCACAATGAGGTGCAAACACGTCAGATTATTTTACTTAGTTTTTTTTTACAATCGAAAAAAGTTCATGTATTTTTTTGTATCACTAAAAAAGTTCAGTGTTTTTTTAGAACCGCAAAAAGTTCATGTATTTTTTGGATCATTTAAGAAGTTCAATGTTTTTTTAGATTCGTTTAAAAAGTTTAATATTTATTTGATAAAAAATAAAGTTCAGTGTTTTTTTGTCAAAAATAAAAAGTTCAGTATTTTTTTTAGAATTTTCCCTTTTTTTAATGGATCAAGATTCATATTTTATATAGATTTGAGTATATTTGAGTATGACGCTAAAACCTATATTCATTCTAACAATGTGAATAATTTAAAATATTCAATTACATGTCATTATTATGTGTAAAATTTAACATATTATTATTGTCGGTTGAAAAATCTAAATTTAAAAATATAATATAATATATGTACAAATATATATAAATATATATATATTCACATGTATATATAATTGATAGGTATTATTCAGCGTTTACCAGTCAAAGATTATTTACTCTTTGGATCTTCTGAATGGAGGGTAAATACGTGATTTATGACTAAGCCGGAGAGACACATATATATCTCTTTTTCCAATGTAGATATAACAATACGATATAATGTCAAGTTCAACGGATTGAACCTTTCGGACGATTTCTCAGCCTAAAGTCATTGGCTCCAAAATACAATCTATAAAAATCCTGACACAGAATTACCTTCTTCAATTTGATTACTTAGATTGCAGTCTACTTGCTATGTATATCGATCAGACAATTAGAAATATATTTCTACCACGGAAAAGGAGACCTAAGAGTCTACATATCACTCACCTAGAAGATCGATTTTTCCTACAAACAATTAGTTTAGAACGTTGTTACGCAATGTTTCAGGTCGAGAGCAGCATTAACCGTGGATCAGACATCCGAGACTTAGGCAGTTTATCACGAACCAACCATGTATAATTACGGACTTATGATACTCTTATGTTTTTGGAAAAAACGGTTTTGTATTATATCAGTGGTAGACTCTTATGGTTTGTAATAATCACTACCACTCGTCTATGTATAATTATAATTGGAATAATGTATCATATATGTATATATGAATGTTTTCTTCCACTGACTCTGAAAAAGAAAAATTTTAAATTCTCATGTATTTTTAGAATTGTCTTTTTATTTTAGTCGTACATGTGATGCAACTCGTAATACGAAATTGTGTTTTTATTTTTCAAATGATATTATTAATTATTATAGTTGTGATTTATTTTAAAA